GTGGTGGTCGTGTTTGATTTTGTGTGTTGTGTTGTTGTTGTTGTTTTGTTTTTAACTTCAGGCTACAATTTGTTAGGGTCTTGGAAAACTCAGTGGTTCATGACCAGCCGAGCTGGAACTAGGACGAGGTGCAAAATTTAATAGATGTCAAAACCCCAGGACTCCAGATAAATATTTAATGCGACATTTTAAAAAATCATCATTAATGCAAAAATCCGTGGTGAGAAAATATCAATTTTAAATAAAAACAGGATCTGACCCTGCACTTGTGTGTCTTATCTCACTTGCCTCACCTAATCTCTTCCCTGATGGCCAGTATTTAAAAAAAAACAACAACAACACACAACAGAATGTAGACTATTAGAGTGCATTAGAGGGACAGGAGAGGAGAGGAGAAGAAAGGAGAGGGGAGGGGAGGGGAGGGGAGGGAGGGGAGGGGAAGGGAGGGGAGGGGAGGGAATGGATCATAATAATGTAAGATGTAAAATGTGAGCTGAGAGCAGCAGCAGTTACAGTGAGGGACATGTGGAGCCAGAATGCCTACATGTGTGGCTTTGGGCATTTTACTTAACCTGGCTTTGTTTTAGTTTCCTCAAGTGTAAATGAAGATAAGAAAACTGCCTTCATTTTTGGCAGAATGGCCACTTACTTTATCCAAGGACAATTTTGATAGTGGAAAGTGTCACTAACAGACAATATAGCTTTATAATGTTAATTATTGCAAAATTAAAAAGCACTTTCAAACAGTAAAACAGTTACAGATTTATATCATGCAAAAATGACAAAACAATTCAATCATGAACATTCAGATGTTCAACAGCAAGACTATTTAGCCTCTATTTCATTTCATATTCATGTAATTTTCCATGTTTTCCACTGGCCCCACTGAGTGGTGGGCTAGCGGTTTAATGGATTTTGCATATTCTGTCATGGATCAAAGCTGGTACCTGAGGTGGCCAGCAGGACAGGGGAGTCTCACCATGGACAGAGACAAAGAAAAAGAATAATTTATGCCCAGCCTCTTGTGTTTGAGTGTACTGTGTTATATCAGCAAGGCCCTTTGATCTATCCCGGAGAGAGTGTCAGTTATGGCATTGCTCTGGAAAGAGCCAAAGAGGCCAAGGACAATTAGAGTGATTTTCTAGATTTCACCACATGCTAAAGAGAACTTGTGCACTGCATACGCACACTCCCACCCCAGAAGATCACAGCATGACACAAACCAGATGTACAAAGTGGAGGTCAAAAAACCCTTCTCAGTTTACTTTAATGCAAGTGTTAATATAAGTGATTGGTTTACAATGAATAATCCAGGACAAATGCTAAATCACACAAGACATCAAGAAAACAGGCAAAATGAGAATGTGTCATGGTAAATTAGGCTCTATGAGCACACTACCACACAGTTGTTGTGGGGATTAAGTCAATCACTGTGATGGGAAGTGCCTGGAAAAGTGCCTGGCATATAGCAAGCATGCAAACAGTGTTAGCTCTTGTTACCATTTTTTCCCCTTACCATGGTTCAGACTCAGAAAACTTTAAAAGCTCTACCTTAGAGAAAAAGATGCCATTTCCTAAGGGACAAAAATTGGAAAGGTCTCCTGCTCTTTTTTTCCAAAACGTAATCGTTAATGACAATAACTGCCTTGATTGCAAAGTTCAAGCAGGATTTGTTTTGCTTTCCCTCTTTCCCTCAAGTCTTAACTTTGTTAATTAAACTTCATATTTTGAATAGCCATTTTGATATGCACAGTCAAATTGGAGAACATCTCCATGCAAACCATATAAGCTTGGATTTCTCAAATATTTTTTTAAAGAAAACAAAGCAGTGATTATAACCATATGAGTATATGGCTAAAGGCGAATACAGGAAAAATAGACAGCTAGGCAATCCAGGAATCGGGAAGCCAAAGCTGGGGTAAATTATTTATATGCATATTGAAGACCCTCCAGGAAAGGTAAAGTTAATGAGAGTTTGGGTTAATAGTGAAAAAGGTGCTAAAGTCATTAATAAGGAATGTGGCTGGAAGCTGATAGATAACAGCAGTGATATTTGAAATCATCAATGAAGTTGAAAAACCTGAACTTCAGAGGCTCCAATGGAGCTGGGTTTGAGGAAGGAGGGAAAGGAGATGATTGTTCAGGCATCACAATGAGGAGCAAGGAGGATACTTGAGATGACTGATAGAGGTGGGCATTAAAAAGAGACTCCTTAGAGATGGTACATATATTTAATTCCTTTCCAACTGTACTGGTATGTCTCACAGGCATCTAAATTTAACAGCATCAAAATATGACTTTTGAGTTCTACCCCAAATGTGCTCTGTCACAGTAGTCCCCATCCTAAATAGTAACACTGCCCACCACAGTTGCTTAATCCAAATATCTGAGCCATATTATTCACTTCCTCACCTTCCCACATCAAATGCATCAGTATGACCTATTGGTTTTGCCTCCAAAGGATAAACCACTAGAATGTAAGTTTCATCAAGGGGATTGCACTTTGTCCTGTTCAACCATGTATTCTAAGGCTATGGACATTGCCTGGTGCACAGTAGGAAGCAAATATTTCTAGAATGAATGCATGTATCTTGAATCTGACCGCTTAGCTCTATACTCCTGACTAACACTGGAGTCAAAGCCACTAACATCTCTCATCTATATTTCTACAATTGCCTCCTAACTGATGTGCTGCTGTTACTCTTACCCCTCACAGGCTATCTATGTAATAGATAGGTTTCAACTTGATATGTTGAAACCAACAAATGGATTTTTATCACTTAGAATAAAATTCATTCCTTTACACTGGTCTGCAAAGACCTATATGAACCTGAAATTAGCTATTTCTCCAACCTCGTCTTCTACTGCTTTGCCTTTCTCATTTGCTACTGCTTGCTCTAATACTACTCAACTTTCTCCAAACCAACTTTATCATAATAAGACTCACCAGAACTCTTGTGAAAAATACCTCAGTAATTTAGTGACCTCCCTGTAGACTCTGATTCATAAGGTTGAGGGTGGAACACAAGAATCTGTACTTTTAACAAGCACTCCTGGTGATTCTTATGGTAAGATTAGGTACAGATACAGCCTAAGATTCCTCCCCATAGCATTTCAATTATTCAGATATGAGAAGCAAAATGAAAATGTTCTATGTCAATGGCCACCTACTATGCTATGCCAGGGAATTCTGAGAACACTGCTTATGTGCTGAAGTATCCTCACATTCTAATAAAATGTGAGGTAGCACAAGTAACATCAAACTTGTGTCACCTTGTGCTAGACTCCTGTGGATGAGGTTGAAAAAATGGTTATCACAGGGAGGCAGGGAGGAGAAAATTGCAAAAGGCTTGATATTCAACAATGTATAGAAGAGTGTGTGTGTGTGTTTCCTTAGGCTGTGACCAAGGTCATGTTTCTGTCCCAGAACCTTCTGTTGTCCTATGTAAAATTGGCTTATAAACCAGAGCGGTTATATACTGCAGTTACTGGGGCGGGGAGGGGACTTCAGAAATACTGTCTGCTATGCTCCATCCCAAGACTGGGATTTAACTGGTATGGGGCATGGGCAAGGTTTGGGACTTTTAAAACATTCCTGGGGTTATCTAATGTGCAGGCAAGTTGTTTGGGAACCACTGAACTGAATATTTGGAGCCATGTATTTCAAATGTCAATCCTCTGGATAAATTTCAGGTTCCTGCATTCAAGTTTAAGTTGAGATGATGAAATCCATGTGACTGGATTTATCAAGTTGCAGTCAACATGGGTAGGAACCTGATTTACATAAAGTCAGAGCAATTGATGAAAAGGTTAAAGAAGTTATAGCACAAAGTTCCACTGATAATTGTATGTATAATAATACATACAATTATCAGTGTTCAAAACCTGATTTTAAGGTAATTTTGTCAGATTAAGTATATATCTCCAGTCAGCTAAAACACCGGGCTCCTAGTTAAATTTGAATTATAGATAAACAATGAATAATTTATTAATACAGTCAAATCTCAATTCTTGAATATCTCCCATCTCGAACAATTTGGTTTTTGATCAACTTGTTCACTGAAAACAAGTCTAGGCTGTGGAACAAAACTTCAGTTTTTGAGCTGATAACCCTCTCATGGTGATACCTCAGCATGACAACAAGCCTCTCTCAGAAAACAAACAAAGGAGAGAATGCTTTTGTTGGTGGTGAAATAGAATATTAGCATAATTTCAAAACAGAGGCCATCAAGAGTGCTAAAGTTGCTAAGAGGGTGAAAGAAGCAATGATCACAGGCAATTGAAGAAGCAGAAAAACTATTGTTGATTTGGATAAAGGAAAAGCAATTAGCCCTGTGACAGCATTTCGGAGGCAGTGACATGTGAACAAGCAAAGATGCTACATGCTTACCTGAGAGACACCCCTGGACAAGTGCTGAAAGTGATTTGTTAAGGCTAGCGGGGGGGGGGGGGGGGGGGCTTAATAAATTAAAAAACAAACAAACAAAAACACACCACACACACACACACACACACACACACACACACACACACACACACACTTATCTATAGATTAAGCAGTACACCAAACATGTGCTATATAGAAGAAAGGTTAAAACAAGAAATCATTTGGGGGTCTGGAATGGATTAATTCCATTTACATGATTTCTAAAGGGGAAAAATGATTTGGTTTTCCAACAAATCACTTCTTGAACAGCATTCTGGAACAAATTAAGTTCGAGAACCAAGGTTTCACTATATAAGTACGCCCCATGTAATATATATATAGTGTTTATTTTTTTTAATCTGAAAATGAAGTTTAGCTGTGTGCTTATATGCATGACAGCCTTGCCCCAGTTATAAACGACTAACCTGAGCAGTAATTCAGTATAGTAGGGCCGAGCAGAACAAAAATTAACCATAGTTTCTTGCTCATTATATGTCCTTGTGTTTACTGAATCATATTGTTTGGTTCACCACCTCAAGCACTACCTGACTAGCCACCTGAGGCTCATCTGTACCTTATTCTGCCTCTTCTGTCGTCGTCTGAGCCGCAGGAACTCCTTGTGTTGTCTGGAGACAAAATTCACTGCTGCGTATTCCAGCAAGGCGGCAAACACGAACAGAAGGCACACTGCCATCCAGATGTCAATGGCTTTGACATAGGAGACCTGAGAGAGACACACAGAGAGAGTCCATGACAGCTTGTGAGGAGCCCCTTTCCTAACATTGTGAGCAGAATAGCCTCATTTGTGGATCCTGGGCAGAGCAGTGGAAGTCACACACCCCGCCCTCAATGTCCTGAGCCCTTCTGCCACCTTTCTCAGTGTAGCCCATCTGTTCAAGTAGCCTCATCCTTGAGAACAGCTCCAAAGAAGTTTCTTAATGAAGAAAGGAGACACAAACTAAAACTTTTGAGGAGAATAGAGTGGAGGACACCATTTTCAAAACTGTTCTTCTTAACATTTATTTATTTAAAAATATATTTTATTGATATTTTACAGAGAGGAAGGGAGAGGGAGAAAGAGTTAGAAACATTGATGAGAAACATTGACCAGCTGCCTCCTGCACACCCATCACTGGGGATGTGCCTGCAACCCAGGCACATGCCCCTGACTGGAATCAAACCTGGGACCTTTCAGTCTGCAGACCAAGGCTCCATCCACTGAGCTAAACCTGTCAGGGCTTTTTTTTCTTAACATTTAAAAACAAATATCATTAAGATCATTCCATAATTTGGATGAGAAATAAACTATGGACTTGGGCCCTTTAAAAATCAATTTTTAATTTTCATCCATCTGTTGACCCTAACTGGCATGAAAACACATTTCTATTTCTATCCTTAAACACTATTTAAGGATATTGAAACTATCACAATTTAAGGATATTGAACCAAAATAAAACATCAGGGCTCTAGCCTTGGGGAAAGTATCTGGTTAAAAAGAACACTTTTATAAACCTTCAGTGGTTGTTTGAGTATTTACTACATCTTACAATTTAATAAAGCAAATTTTCAAGAAAAGTACTTTTTACTTTCAATGGAAAGTGCCCCTCATACCACTCAGCTTTCAATTATTCGTTAAATGTACGGGTGAAAATAACTACATCAAGTTGTAGTATATTGGACCCTAGACTTCAAAAGATGCTTATAAAACTGCCGGCTGAATGTGTACTATTTAGTCCTAACTTTTAACAATTTTTGTTTTATTTTTACTTTATTTTTAAAAATTCTTTATTGTTTAAAGTATTACATATAGTATTATATATTTCCTTTCTCCCCATTGGCCACCCCAACCCACCAGCATATGCCCCCACCCTCCTTGTGTCTATGTCCATTGGTTAGGGTTATATGCATGCATACAAGTCCTTTGTTTGATCTCTTAACCCCCACTCTAATCCTCCATTGCCTTCCTTCTGAAGATTGATGGACTTTTTGATGCTTCTATGTCTCTGGATCTATTTTTGTTCATCAGTGTATGTTGTTCATTATATTCCACAAATGCGTGAGATCATGTGATATTTTTCTTTCTCTGACTGGCTTATTTCTTTTAGCATAATGCTCTCCAGGTCCATCCATATTGTTGCAAATGGTAAGAGTTCTTTCTTTTTTGGAGCAGCATAGTATCCCATTGTGTAGATGTACCACAGGTTTTTTTAATGCATTCATCTGCTGATGGGCACTTAGGTTGTTTTCAAATCTTGCCTATTGTGAATTGTGCTGCTATAAACATATAAATAGGTTTTGTTGTTGTTGTTGTTTTTATAACACTGAGTTCTTACCTACCAATATCTATCTATCTATCTATCTATCTATCTATCTATCTATCTACCTATCTATCTACAATATATATTGTAAAAGGCTAATATGCAAAGTGTTCCCTCAGGAGTTTGATTGGAAGACCAGGAATTTGACCGGGAGGCCCGGAGTTTGATGGCTCTCTGTGACATGTGCTGATCACCAGGGGACGGCAAAGAACAAAGGAAGGCCCCAGCCAGCCCTGGTCACCAGCCAGGCCTAGGGACCCTACCTATGCACTAATTTCATGCACTGTGCCTCTACTTTTAATTATTTTACATGTATTAATTTTTCTAACCATCACAACAACTATATTGCTCCCATTTCTGATGAGTAAACTGGGGTACAGAGGGGTTAAATTATTACCTGAGATCACAAATGTAGTAAGTGGCAGAGCAAAGATTGTAATTGGATCCCAGTCTGACTAGTGAATTTTCCTTCCAGATGTACACAAACACATTAGTAGGATTATACAGTTTGTTTTCTCCCATTTCCCCTTGACCTTTCTAGTGAGCATTTCCTAGCCCAGTGGTCAGCAAGCTCATTAGTCAACAGAGCCAAATATCAACAGTACAACGATTGACATTTCTTTTGAGAGCCACATTTTTTAAACTTAAACTTCTTCTAATGCCACTTCTTCCAAATAGACTTTCCCAGGCTGTGGTATTTTGTGGAAGAGCCACACTCAAGGGGCCAAAGAGCCGCATGTGGCTCACGAGCCGCAGTTTGTCAACCACTGAGTTATACTTATATGAATGCATACAAGGCTTTTGGTTGATCTCTCCCCCTTACCCCTCCCCTCCCATATCTTCCCTCTGAGGTCTGACAGTCTGATCTATGCTTCTGTGTCCCTGGATCTGTTTTTGTTCATCAGTTTGTGTTGTTCATTATATTCCACAGATGAGTGAGATGATGTGATATTTATCTTTCTCTGACTGGCTTATTTCACTTAGCATAATGCTCTCCAGTTCTTTTTTTTTCTAATACAATTTCTTTTTTAAAAATTAAATTATTATCTGTGTACATATCTTACCATTCCCCCCTCCCAAAAAGACCCTCCCTCCCCAGAGTTTTGTATCCATTGGTTGTACTTATATGCATGTTTACAAGTCCTTCGGTGGATCTATTATCTCCCCCAGATCTCCCTACCCTCCCTGCTGTAATTTGACAGTCTGTTTGTTGCTTTACTGTCTCTATATCTATCTTTTGGTTCATCAGTTCTTTTAAGGCTACCACATTCCTAACACCAATTGTCTCAGTCAATCTGAACTACTTGTCAGTCTCACATAAGGTGTGAAGGGGTCCAGCATTTTATCATCTTCACCACTGTAAATGACCACTCTTCTTACCTGGGATGCTGTTCACCTTCTTTCTGATTAATAGACTTCTCAGAATCTTTCAGGACTTGGCTCAGATATCAGCTCCCCCGACAAGTTTCCCTAATCTTCTTGCTTTCACCAGTCTGGGTTAGGGGCCACTTTTCTTTCCTTCCTTTTCAGTTTCTATTGAGCCCGTCTGCTGTTCCTTTTTAGTCTAATAGATTCCCTGATCCCACCACTAGACCTGTAAGCTTTTTCTTTTTGACAGGCCCTGTGAAGTATTACCCTTTGTATCACCAGTAAAGGACATGACAAATAGTAAGGATTAGCTATGTGAGATAGATAGCAAAATAAATGACTGAATGACAGGAGGAAGGAATAAAGGAAATATTTGTCTGCCTTTCCATTTTGTGCTTTAATTTAAACAATTCTACACCAAATAATATCATCCACAATTTTGTGTATTTGATATTTTAAAAAGTAGACTATTAGCGCATTTCCATTCTCTTCAGTACACTTAGCATTCCTGGAATGTTTCTTTCTTTAATAAGCAATAATTTGTCTTGTATTTTTTCTTCTGGAGCAATCCTATTCTCTTATAATAATAGAACATTACCAATCACAGCATTCCCGGTTATATATTATTCAGATGGCCCATAAATGTTTTAAGACCCAATAATGAGAGGACTTTGTCAATGCCTGAGATAGGTCCATACCAAGAGCTAAGTCCAATAGAACTGACCATTATTCTTCCCCAGCCTGGTGTTTACAACATTCAGTAATTTGTAAAACATCCCCCATCTCTTTCTGGCCATCAGCAGGCCAAGCACGTATTTGAATTCTTTTATAGCCGCTCATAAATGAATCCTTTCAGCCTCTTCATCATTTTGGTTGGTCTCTGAATTCCCTCCAAATCACGAACATCTTTCCAGCATTGAAGTGCTGGTATTAAATGAATTATTCACATGGATTTAGAGGGTGTTTGGGGACATCTATTACATATGGTGTGATGCCACTTGGTGCTAGTCTCCCAGGATTGAAATACCTTTTTGTTGCTTTTACCCAGCTCTGATGTCAGATTTTCTCTCTTTGGCTGCTAATCCTTAGATGTTTTCAGCTCACATCTTTCCCTGACACATTCTTTTTTATGATTCTTGGGCTTATGTGATCCCTTCCTGAACTACTTTACTACAATCTTACAAAATAGTTTCCAAAGGTAATTAAGCTCTCAAAGTGCTAAGATGATTCACTGAGTTCCAGGCATATTTAATTTAGAAAAACATCGCAAGCCCACTATGTGGAAGGCAATGCACTAAGTGCTTTTGGGAGATGGGGCAGAAGGGATCAGGATAATTAAGATGCTCATCGATTCTTCCTATGACTTCTCACACTAGGCCCCAGGAAACCCCTTTCACACTGTGCTTCAGAGAGTGTCATTCACAGGGAGCACATTTTGGCCTGTCGATCAAATCTGGCCCAACACGTGTTTTATAAATAAACTTGTTGGTTTTTTTTTTTTAACATAGCCATACTTGTTCATTTACATATTGGCTGTGGCTGCTTTGGACTAAAATGGCACTGTTGAGTATTGTGACAAACCCTATATGGCCTATAAAGCTGAAAATACTTACTATGTGGTCTTTTACAGAAAATGTTTACTAGCCCTTGACCTAGACTGTAGTGTTGTTTGGTTTGTCCTGGGATTATACATCCGAGTGGCCCTGCTTGATACTTGAGAAACCCGGGGTCTATTTAAGGAGAATGTCAAGTGAGCATATAACTGATAGATGTGAAATGCATGGTCCCATGTGCCAAAGTGTAAGGAAGATCAAAAGGCTGATGGACTGTGGGGAAGTGGATGTTGATAGGGAAGATCAGAAAAGCTTTATTCCTGGATGCTGTGGCATTTGACTTAGGGTTTGAGGAAAGCCAGGCTTTTGATTGATAGAAGAAGATTTAAAGCAAAGCCATGGAGATGGGAGAGAGAAGGTGGGCTCAGGATGAGCAACCCAGTGACAGGATATGCTGGGTACCTGGGAAGTGCGTGGTGAGGTGT